GGAAAATCTGTTAATCCATTCCTAAATATCTGCAATTACTGTGTGAGAGCTCTCAGGGTCCTGAGCGGCTTCCCCAACCTGGAGTCTCACTGGACACCCCTCCCCTGCTGCTGACGCGGATAACTCAAGGCTTGCTTTGATCACAGCAACCTCTGAAAACCCAGCTTCTCAAGGTGCAGCGTCCTGGCAAGGACTGCAGTGTGATCTGAGGCTGAGCCTGGGAGCCACCTGGGGCTGGGAGTCCACACAGGACACGTGTCAGTGATGACAGCTGTGCTTCCCCTGGAAAACCTGCGACGCCCCCAGCTGGCAGGCTGCCTCTGCCACCTGGGATGTGAACAGTCCCGCCCCATCCCTCTCTGACGCAGCCGGACGAGGAGCAAGCGAAGGACTTTGTGAGACACGGCAGGTACCTCCTGTCACCAAGGAGACGGACACAGACCGCTTCTTCTGTTCAGAGGTTCAGCCATGCGCAGGCGCTCTCTCTAGCCCCTCACAGGAACCAGAGGGGCTCTTGGTCCAGTCCTTTAAACCACTCTCATCACTTCTGAGTTTACCGGCAACCCCGGAATGGGCCCAGTTCACTCACCCGGCAGTGCCCTCGATGGTCTCCATCAGCACCAGGAAGGCTTGGTCCGCCGGGCCCTCCAGGAAGAAGCTGGCCCACAGCTCCTCCAGGCGGCCGTCCGGCAGCAGCTCCAGCCAGGCCGGGCTCAGCCTGCTGGCAAGACATCTGAGGACAGGCGAGAAGTGGGCCGAGGCAAACTCCTCCTTCTCCCTCGCGAGCGCTGCAGGCTCCATCTCACTGAGATACCGCTTCAGGGACTCCAGAGTGCTGAAGACGTGGCCGCCATCCTCCGAAGATGAGAGGGTCTGAATGGCTTCCCGGACGGCCAGTCGGACCCCTGAGGGTGCTGGCTCCATCCTGCAGGACAGTCCTGGGCGTCACGGGAAGGCGACCTGTGGCATGGACACGAGGCTCAGCTTGGGGCAGGGAAATAATCCACACACGCTCAGTAAGCCCCTCTCTGAGCGTCCCAGGACCCCACACCCCTCACCCCTGGTCCCACCCAACCCTGCCCCGCCTCCTTCCCCTCCAGTGCCTGACGGTTTCCACCCAGAGTTCGCTCCTCCGCTGGGACCCCCACGCTACCGCCCACTGCAGGGCTTCTCAACCCGGGCCACTGTGCCCAGGGGACATTCAGTTGTCACAAGCGGGGGTGCCACTGGCGCGACAGGGAGGTGGAGGCCAGGGATGCTGGTGAGTGTTCCCCGGGCACAGGGCGGCCCCACGCGTCCGGAAAATCTGTTAATCCATTCCTAAATATCTGCAATTACTGTGTGAGAGCTCTCAGGGTCCTGAGCGGCTTCCCCAACCTGGAGTCTCACTGGAC